TCTTTGTAAAGAGAGTCAGTGAGGTGCAGATGTCCCCTGTTGATCGCTCTTCATCAAAATCAAGGCATTCCAAGAGCTCTTCAGTCTTGCCTAAAATACCAGTTAGGAGCAAGGCTGAGCTTGCCTGATGTGCAGCTCAGGGGTCAAGTGAAGCCTAAAGGTCTCGAGTGGGACTGGGAGGAACAGAGAAATGTCACCAGCAGTCCTGTAACAGAAGCCATCTCTGACATGATAAGTTGAACAAGAGGATTTGGCTGACTGTGTTTTCCTCTTGGCTAGATCTTTAACATTTTAATTTGCAAGTGAATGTGGTATTTATTCATGGCAGCTGTTGCTGAAGCAGCCCAGGTACAGCCTGTTTCAGTGCAGAGCTCTCTGGGCAAGAGGCTTTCCTGCCAGCTGAGTTGCAGAGCATTGAGAGGTCTTTTAGCAACAAATTGATGGCAGAGGAAGACCCTGTGTGCTGCTGTGGAGAACATCTGGAAGAGAAGAGGATGCTCTGTCCATTGCTACAGCCAGCATTTCCCTCCCGAAGGACTTCAAATGTCATCTCATAGTTTAAACTTGTCAGGACCTGTAGGAGTCCGTGAGCTGTGAGTTAAAGGTGTCTGTTACTCAGCCAGCAAATGGATCTGGACAAGAAACCCGTCTTCCTCCTGCCTTCCCTGTGAATATTCAGGAGTGGGCCCCCTAAAATGGGGAGTGGCTTTTGTGGGGAGCAAGGGGAGTGAAAGAGAAGTCCCTCCTGCATCCAGCAGGGTTTTCCTGTTACAGCACTCCTGCTGATTGCTCCTGTTGGGTTTGGAGCCTTGATGTGCTGTTCAAGAAATACAGCCTTGTTTTTCAAATGTGTCTTTCCAGGTGGCAGTTGGCCCAGTAAAGCTGACACAGTGTTGTAACTGGAGAATACTGTGGTGTCCTGGAAAGAGTCTGCTCTGCTTCTCCCACATGTGTGTTTGGGAGGAACCAAGGACACATCAGTCCTCAAAAAGGGGGAAAAAACTATTTTGGGCTGGAAATTCATGCTATTTCTCTGGTCTCAACTGCTTGTGCTCCCTGACTCTTCCTTGCTCTGAAAACTGCACTTCTGTCCTCCCTGGTGGGATTTACCACTCATCACCCAGCTGCTGCGGGGGATGAGCACTGAGATTCTGGAGCTGTGATGAAGTGCAAGGCTGATGCTGCCTGTCAAATGGTCCTGAGGGTGGATTCAATGCTCAGGGCCAGCAGAGCCACCCCTGAGAGCTGGGCATCTGCAGACTGGCAGAAACCAACCTTTGGGCAACCCTCCAGCAAAGGGTGGATCCAGTTCCAGGGCTGTCTCAGGTCTCATCCTTTCCACGGCTTGAAGGTCTTGCAAACATCTGGACTGTGTGCCAACAGTCCATCAAGGTTTAAACAGCAGGTGCCTCCAGGCTGATGTAAGTTATCTATACCTCTCCAAGTAGCTCTTTTTGCTTCATTATCCCCTGTGCCCGGGGCAAGACGTGCTTCAGTCTTCCTCTTCTGGTCCCATGTACATCCTCCAGACTGAGGATGCTCTCTCTGTCTTTCTGCTGTCATCCTGGCAGGACTGGTGTCCTAAGCACAAGCACTCTGGTGTAGGGATCCTGAGCATTTTGGGTGTTTTGGTTTTTTTTTTAACACTTTCATCAAATAACATGGGTGTGGGAGTTGAATTACAGCTTCCCAAAAGTGCCTGGTTGGATCCTTGCAAATAAAAGCCCTGCAGAACAAAGCAGGGTGCATGGAGAGGCAGGTAAGGAGGGTGAGTCTTGGCAACATCATGTCTAGGACTGCTCTACTGTTGGCCAAGGCTTCCAGCAGAGCAATATGTGCTATCAGACAGCCCTGCAGCTTGGCTCCTGCTGGGTGAGAGCCTCCAGGCTATTCCCCACTCCTTGCAACACATGGGGATCCCTTGTCCCGGCTTCTTGCAGGGTCTGGGGCCAGGGCAGAGATGTTGCTGCTCCCACAACGTGCCAAAGGACTGCCAAGCCCAGGCAGGTGTCTGGAGTCCTGTGTTTTTTGATGGAAACGTAAATCTCAGCGGGAGGTTGATGTGCCCAGATGTCGGATGTATGAAACCATGCGTGTGGTTGTACCTGAGAGCTGGCTCATGACTCCATAGCCATGGTCCACAACCTGCTTTCCTTCCAGATGACAGTGTGGTCAGGGCTTTCCTGTGAGAGCACTGCCACCTCCTGAGCCTTTCACCCCTCCTTTCTCCATCTGCTTCATCCCCTCCCCTATAACAGGAAGCAGGGTAGGGAGCCAGCAGCATTCCTCACCCTGCTCCCTGCTGTGCCCTGTCCTTTGGACTTGCCCAAAGGGAGGGTGCCCCCAGGTCCAGCCTGTGACCATCTGGATGAACCAGAAGGGGAACATTCAGAGCGTTTCTGTTCACCTGTAGCCAGCAGAGAGCTGCCAAGGAGGCCACGCTGAAACCCGAAGCGGCTGTTTTTCCCGAAACTCAGCACTTGGCAGGGAGAGCAGACGGACAAGTGGCGGAGCAGGGAGGGATGCAAGTGCCCTGGGGAGCAGCACTGCTGAGGAAGGTGCCCAGAGGAGGTGCCCAGGGAAGGTGTGCTGGCTTACCTGTTTGGGGATCCATCTCCATGTCCTCCTTGGCCGAGATCATGAGGAGAGTCAAGAGGACACCGAGGTCTTTGTTAACCTTCTGTCCTTACATGTGGCTCTTCCCTTGCTCACCCTCTTCGTGCCATGTCCTGAGCATCTCCTTCAGCAGTGAAAAGCCATGACTGGTTTTCCCCATGCGTTGCTCAGAAAGGTCAGGAGATGGGCCAGGCGTCCCTCTCGGCTCAGCTGCTACGGATTTTGGCTGAGCCAGCCCAGCCAGCAGCACTCTCCCTGCCTGGACCTTTTTTCCTTTATAGCTCAGCATTATCTCAAGGTCTCTGCTGTTGCAGCCGCCCCGTGTTTGCCTTCCCTCGCAGCACCTGCCTGCCAGCCGCTCGCTTCCCACCCCTCTCCCTCCCACTCCTGCATGGCAACAGGGGCTTGAGGGGGTGATGTGGGCACCCTCAGGGTGTGGGGAGCCCCTCCATGGGGCTTCAGTGCTGCCAGCCCCAGGGGAGTGAGCAGGGATGTTGCCCCATGTGGGTTGGTGGGAGAGATACCGGGGGACATCTGTCCCATCTCCTTTGCTTCCCAGTCCTCATCAGCCTTGCTGCTGCTGAGGCAGGGCTGGGTGTTCTATTGAATCAGCCCAGGACACTGTCCCAGCCTCATTTTTGCTTCCAGGACAGCGCTGGATGGATGGCTGAGCTGCCATGCCCTGGCCTGTCCAGGCAGCATCAGCCCTTCCACCCGTGGGGAGCGCCAAGACTTCATCCCGAGCTGAGATGTTGTTAAAAATAGATCAGTCCTGAACTGGTTTTCTCCTTCTTGGTTCCTGGCCCAACAGCTCATTCCTCTCTCTGGGCTGGCTCTGAAGCTGTGTGGCTGCTGTGAGACACAGGCTCCACACCAGCCTGCCACTGCAGGGAGGTGTGGAGAGCAGAGAGCTGGAAAAGTGTTAGAGGTGGTGTAGCTGTCCCAAAAATATTTAGTGGTTAGTGAGTGCTTTCTCCCAGGAAAGAAGACTTGGAAAAAGAATCTGCTAAATAAGTAGGGAAATGAAGCTGGGATAGCAGGGGCTGTTTGCCTCTCTGCTTGCTCGTGGTGCTCTCGTGAGGGGACAAAGGCACCTGAGCGCTGCAGGCCACAAGCAATGCTCACCTCGGCCCCATGGCTTGCTAGAAAACACCTGCAGGCTGCCACCCCCACTCGTCCCCTCACCCCAGAGCGGTCCCACTGGCTTTCTGCATGGTTCTGATACCACTGCAGAGTCACTGCACCCTGGGCTGGTGGTCTGCTCACCTCCAGGGACAGGCCCTTTGAGACTGATATTCCAGTTTCTTCTTGTAGCCCTTTTCTGTCCTTCTTCTCATTCTTCAGTGCAGTTTTCCAGGTGTGAACACTGAGTCTGGAGACAGTTTTAAGATGCAGCTGTGAAACCTATTATCAGTGTCCCTGCTGTCAAAGACATGGTGTTCAGGGCTGCACGTAACCACTGAGCAATTAAACAGCAGCCCTGGTGATGAATTGCAACTGAGACCTCCTGGGGCTAAATAAATATCGGCTGATAACTACCGATAAAATGAATTTCTGTGTGCTTTTTTTTTTTTTTTTAAAAAAAAGCAGCCTTCCAGTATCTGTGCCCAATCCTGGCACTGCATGTCTCCCAGGGAAAGTTGCATTATCTGTGGCATTTCCATCCTCAGCACCTTGGGTTTCCAACCAGAGTTGGAATAAAAATAAACAAAATAAATCCATGTCCCTGCAGGTGCCAGGAGAGGGAGGGAAAGGCGAGGCAGGGCAACACAGAGGCAGGGCAGGGAGGGAGAGAAGTGACAAGCTGAGGTTTTGGGTAACCAGTTTACATTTATGGAACTTCTTGGAAAAATGATATTTGCCAGTGACTTTGAGAGACTTCTGAGCAGGTTTTGTCGATGCTGGCATTTCATCTGAGGGCTTCTATTGCCGTGCAGGTGTGTCAGGAGTGCTGGTGCTCTGCATCCCTGGGTGCAGCTTTCCCACTCTCCACTGGCTGTGGAGAGCAGCCACACAGTCAGGGAAAAAGCATTTGGATGAACATTCCATCTGCCTGGTTTGCAAGTGAAAATAAGGCTTGTCCAATGGCCAGCTCCACCCAGAGCAGAAAATGAGAGCCTTTGGCAGAGTGGTGCTGCTGCAATGCCACTGAACTGTGCTGAGACTGCCAGGCCTTGAATGGGGAAGATCCCACGTGCGTTCAGAGAAGTTTGGGGATGGATCTGTCAAAACTGCTGCTTAGGGTTTTTGGCACCGCCTGGGGACACCCCCTGCAGGTGGATGTCACCCTGTGGCCCAGCCCACCCTCTGCACTGATTCCACATTGTCTTCTCCCTGCAGCACATCCTTACAGCCCTGGAACTGTGTGGACTTGCAGAGCCATGATGAAGCTCCTGCCTGTTGCTGCTCTCCTCCTGCTTCTCCTGACAACACTGGAAGCCAGACCAAAACCTGCAGGTGAGCCCCAAATGGTGGGGAGGAGAGAGAACCGAGAGCATCAGGGCAGTGGAGCCCTAGGGTGACAACTTGCTGTGTGAGGTGGGGTCATGACACCTCTTCTTTGGAGGCATCCCCAGGAGGATGGAGATTCCCCACAAATGTGAGGCCCAAACTTACCAGCCCTGCCCTGGGGGGTGGGAGCCTGAGCCTGTCCCCAGCATGGTGGATCTGGTGCCACTTGCTCTGGGCATATCCCCTGCTTTGGCACAGCCCAGCTCAGGGCTTGTGGCCCTCCTCCCCATGGGCTGCGACCTCAGCAGGACATGCAGGCATGAGGGGGAACCTCCTCCTTGCATCAGTCTCCAGTGTGAGGGGGGACAAAGCAAACCCAGGGAGAGCAGCCTCTCTCCTTTCAGGGCAGAGGGATCTATATGAATTTCAGTTTAAAACCAGTGAAGGTACCAAATGGAGAAAGGAATGGGTATGTCTCAGAGACCTTCAGAGCAGTTGAGATGACAGCTGAGGCCTGGGCATCATCCCAGGGGACTCAAACTGTTTGCTTTCCATTAGGGCCAAGTTCTCCCAGGCTTGGGTGCACACAAGCCAAGCAAAATATGTTCATTGGCATTTAACTTGCTAAACAATCTCCCAATTTTCACTGGAAGTAGCATCCTTGTGTCCAAGAGAGGATCTTTGGCTCAATCCCCACTGTGTGCATGCCCTTAGCTTTGCTTTTTTTGCCTCATTTTCTGCCCTGAAAAAAAATACCCAACCACAACAACCCCCAGCCAGGCATGTCTCCCCAGCCTGTTGGCCCTGCTCTTGCTCTACCAGCATCTTCCATGACTTTACTGGGCAGTGGGGAGGTGCTGGTTTGTGGGGTCTACCCAGACCTGCTCTCTCCGTCCCTGACTGAGCACTCCTGCAGCCACCCAGCAAGGATGTCTCTGCTCCCAGACCTGCTCCCCGCAGACAGCCACGAGGCTGAACCATCTCTTTACCCCTCTCCAGCCCTGAGGTGCCGGACGGGCCCCCTGGACATCGTGTTTGTGATCGACAGCTCCCGCAGCGTGCGCCCCTTCGAGTTCGAGACCATGCGGCGCTTCATGATCGACATCATCGGCAACCTGGACGTGGGCCCCAACGCCACGCGGGTGGGGGTGATCCAGTACTCCAGCCAGGTGCAGAACGTCTTCTCCCTCAAGACCTTCTTCACGCGGGCGGACATGGAGAGGGCCATCAACAGCATCATCCCGCTGGCCCAGGGCACCATGACGGGGCTGGCCATCCAGTACGTCATGAACGTGGCCTTCACCGCGCAGGAGGGCGCGCGGCCTCCGCACAAGAAGATCCCCCGCATCGCCATCATCGTGACGGACGGGAGACCCCAGGACCGGGTCACCGAGGTGGCCACCCAGGCCCGGAACGCCGGCATCGAGATCTACGCCGTGGGCATCCAGCGGGCAGACATGAACTCGCTGCGGGCCATGGCCTCGCCGCCGCTGGAGGAGCACGTCTTCCTGGTGGAGTCCTTTGAGCTCATCCAGCAGTTTGGGAAGCAGTTCCAGGACAAGCTTTGCGGTGAGCGAGATCTGCTGCTGCGGAGTGGCAAGGGTGGCCCTGGTGTCTGCTCCTCCCCGGGGATAGAATGACCTTCAGAGGGGTGTTTGGGGCCACTGCCCGTGCTAGGAGCGGTGTGGATGGGGAAGCAACCTCCCCAGTGAGGTGATGGGGCAGGGCACCGCACAGTGTCCGTGTCTGTGCACTGGAAATCAGTGGCTGAGCACTGGGGCTGGCAGGGCTGGGGCAGTGCGGGTCATCCCAGTGGCTTCTGCTGCAGGGACAGGGCATATTCCAGAGCTGGGGTCCCATGCATCCGGTGTGCCCACGGGCCATTCTGATGCCCGTTCTGTCTTGCAGGGGTGGACATGTGTGTGGAGCAGGAGCACGGCTGCCAGCACAGCTGTGTCAGCACCCCTGGCTCCTTCTACTGCGAGTGCAACCCTGGCTACAGGCTCAACGTGGATGGAAAGACCTGTTCCCGTAAAAACTCTTTTTATTATCCCAACTCTCATAGGGAGCTTGTGGTTATGGGTCCTGTGGAGGGAAGCTGGGACACAGCAGAGGACCCAGCAAGGCCAGCAGCAGCCTGGAGATCTGTTCACTGGGCCCTCTGCTTCCCGGGTCTGTAATGACTGTGGACATGCAGTGTTGCCAAATCCTGGCCACCCCTCTGGGATGGGACACTTGGGGGTCACATGGCCTGTCATCTGAGGGGGTCTGGGCAGTGTGTATCAGAGAATGCACATCCCAGCACTGATGAGCACACGGTTTTTCCCCTGTATTTTAGTGCAAAGCTGTGTTAATCAGCCTGGTCACCACACCAGGACTTTTCCTGCTTGTCTCATGGTGCTGGGAGCTGCTTTGAAGCCCTGGAGCGGTCCCAGGGAGGCTGGGACAGGAGGGTGATGGGTGTCCTGTTCCCCTGCAGCCATGGATGCCTGTGCAGATGGGACACACGGCTGTCAGCACCACTGTGTCAGCGCTCGGGGGTCGTACTCATGCCGCTGCCGGCCAGGTTACTACCTTGGTCAGAACAAGAGGAGCTGCATCAGTAAGTGATGGTCTCCCTCCCTGTCCCTTCTTCCTTTGCTCCTCGTTCTGCCTCTCCTCTTGTCTGTGCCTTTCTGCCATGGCTTCTCCTTCTCCCACCAGTGATGGATTACTGCAGCTTTGGAAACCACAGCTGCCAGCACGAGTGTGTGAGCATTCCCAACGGGCACTACTGCCGCTGCCGCAGTGGGTACACGCTCCAGCCCGATGGCAAGTCCTGCAGGGGTAGGTGCCAGCGTGGCACACGGCACAGGCTGTGTGTGTGGCAGATTCCTTTATGTCCTGGCCTGTCCCCAGGGGAAGGGCTGTTCCCAAACCAGCCCATCTGAATGGGGATCACCCCATGCCCTTGGCTTGTCTTCCAGCCACCGACCTCTGCAATGGGGTGGATCACGGCTGCGAGTTCAGGTGTGTGAGCACAGAGGGCTCCTACCACTGCATGTGCCCTGAAGGCCAGCAGCTCCAGGCTGATGGGAAGACATGCAGCAGTGAGTACTGGGACATGGCTCTTGGCATTCTCCTTGTCCGGGCTCTCCTGGGGAGGGATCACCTGAAACTGGGCTGGGGGACTCTAAGCGGGACTTTGAGCTAGATTGGAAGAGGATGGAGAGCTGGCAGTGCTTGGGGGAGCACGCTGGCTGCTGCAGGGATGGATGGTTGTGTCCTCAGAAACATGGCCCAGAAGATGCAATAGCTTTGAGGAAAGGTTCAGGAAAAGAGAGACCTAGGAAAGACTTTCACAGGGTGTTGGGGTGTTGGTGGAGGTTTTTGGGCCAAGTCCTTTGGGTATGCTTTGCCCCACTTCCCAGCTGCAGTTCCAGGGGCTCCCCAGAGTGTCCTGAAGCCCAGAAGCTCTGCCCCAGCCCCGGGCACCTTCACTCTAACAGTGCCCACAGCCAGGCTGGTCCCCTCTCATCTCCCCCGTGCCTGCAGAGTGTGGAGCTGGGCACGTCGACCTGGTGATGGTGATCGATGGCTCCAAGAGTGTCCGTCCCCAAAACTTTGAGCTGGTGAAGCAGTTTGTGAACCGCATCGTGGACCTGCTGGACGTGTCCCCCCACGGCACACGGGTGGGACTGGTGCAGTACTCCAGCCGTGTCCGCACCGAGTTCCCCCTCAACAAGTACCACAGCGCGGATGAGATCAAGAAGGCGGTGATGGATGTGGAGTACATGGAGAAAGGCACCATGACAGGCCTTGCCCTCAAGCACATGGTGGAGCACAGCTTCTCTGAGCTGGAAGGTGCCAGGCCTCTCTCCCACAACATCCCCAGAATTGGGCTTGTCTTCACCGATGGACGCTCCCAGGACGACATCTCCGAATGGGCCAGGAGAGCAAAGGAGTCAGGTGTGGGGGTCTGGGGAACCCCAGGTCGCAGTGCTTTGGGCATTCTGGGATGGTTCCTGGGGGTGGCTGTCTTGGGGAGAGGCTGCAGCATTCCAGCCTTGGGGGCTGCGTCCCCTGGGCCGGCAGGGGCAGACCATTGTGTTGTGGTGTTGCAGGGTGCTCTGAGCAGCATCCTTCATGCAGCAGCCTGCACCACCACAGCGCTGCCTCACTCCTGCCCCTCCTTCCTGAGTTCCTGCAATGTGTTTGGGAAGCCCAGAGAAAATCGCTGCATCCTCGGCTTTGCTCCCTCTGGGCTTGGGGCTGCTTGATGTGGGATGGCCAGTGCAGTGCTCAGGATCTGTCCTTGCCACACAGGGATCGTCATGTTTGCTGTGGGTGTCGGAAAGGCCGTGGAAGAGGAGCTGAGAGCCATCGCCTCCGAGCCGGTGGAGCAGCACTTCTCCTACTCAGCAGACTTCACCACCATGACCCACCTTGTGGAGAACTTCTCACTGAACATCTGCCCAGGTGGGTGCTCCTGGGCACAGCAGGGGACTCGGCCCCAAGCCGGGGGGGTCCTCTTGTCCCTACAGAGCCAGTCGGGGTGGTTTGTGTGTCTGTCACTGTCCAGTCCTGGTGGGTGGCTGTAGGGACAAGGGAGTTGTACAGGACAAGGCAGAGCCGTGGGGGCCCTGTGGGGCTGTGGCTCTGACTGCAGCCAAACCCCCCATCCCAGAGGAAGGCAAAGGGCACACAGAGATCCGCAGCCCGTGCGAGTGCGAGGCGCTGGTGCAGTTCCAGACGAACACCGTGGCCATCCTGCAGAGCCTGACTGAGAAAAATATCCTTTATGGTGAAACCTGGGCTGGCTTGGGTGCAGGGCACTGGGGACAGAGCCCACCCAGGGAAGGGAGGGACAGTTAACAGAGCTGGGGAGGATTTTAGGCTTCTTCAAGGGCAAAAAGCTCTTTGCCCCCCACCATGTCCGGCTCACGCTGTTTCCTTAGCACCTTCACTTGCTCAGATGACGGCCAGACTTGAAGAGTTGGAAAAGCAGATTGCCAACAAGAAGTGATCCTGGCAGAGGGCTGCAGCACTCGGGGCACAGGGATGTACAGTAGCTACATGGCATTGTTATTGCTAGGTTATGGTAAAGCATCAGTGTTTGTTCTTATATCTCAAAATCCACAGGGCGATGTGGATTGTATTTTTAAAAAAAATCCTGAGAACACCAGAAAGGACCTTGATCAAAACCTCTGCTGTGAAGCCAATGGGTTTCACCCGTCACTGTTGCCTCGTTCCTCCCAGCTGGAAGGCCTGGTATGAGGGGAGATGACTGTGTGGCCAGACAGGTCTTTGGGCAGATGGGACACCCGGCCTTTCCACAGAGCAACCAGGATGACCCAGCCCTGCACGGCCCCCCCAGAGCCTGGCAAGCTGCTCTGCAAGAGGAAAAACCTACAGTGGTGTCACCCTGAGAGTTTCTCTTGTCTCAGCCTCCGCTGCCAAGTGGTGGGGCAAGAAGAGGTGGGTGGCACAGGCAGGGTCAGCAATCCCTGTCCTGCTCCTGCCATGGTGCCCAGGTGGGCTCCCATGGGACAGTGGGTGGCAGGAATTGTCAGATCCCCTTGCCCTGGTTTGGCAGAATTATTTGGGAACCGGTATTATCTTGTTTGGTTTTATAATCACATAGCAAAATGGTCATTATTCTACCAATATGTATGTGTGTTGTATATATCTATGTATATTTAATTTTGAGAGCAGAGCAGTGCTATTTTGAAACTCATCTTTTCTTTAAAGGAATTTCTATCTTGACAATAAACCCCCTGAAGATTTGTATGCCCCGTGCCTCTCCTTTCAGCAGGGCTTCAGAGTCCCGGAGACACCTCTGCATCAGGATGGGGGTCTCTGGCTTTTGCAAGGTCTGCTGTGCTCAGGCTCCACCAATCCTTTGGGGAAATCTTTGCTGGGTGAGCAAGCCAGGATGCTGCAGGCCAAGGCTCACCTGGAGGGAGCCAGCATGGCATGGACGCCGTGTCCCCATTGGCAGGGTTTGCTTTGGAGCCTGTGCTTGTTGGAACACAGGGATCTGTGAGCTGAGCTGGGGATGGACCCGCGGCCCGGCCCAGGCGCCCCATGGAGCTGCTCTGGGCTGTGTGCTGGGACAGGGACACACAGGACCTGCTCCTGACACGTCCCTGCACACTCCACAAAGAACCAGCAGCATCTTCCTGCCTTTCTCTAAGCACAAAAGTGTGTTTGCTTCCTCTGCAGGGGTAACCCCCCATTCCCCACTGTTCCCCAGGAAGCTGCAGCCCCTGCAGGGCTCATCGCGGCCTCCAGCACTGAGTGCTCAGCACAGGCAGGACATGGAGCTGCTGAGAGAGTGCAGAGGAGGCCTGCGAGGTGCTGCGAGGGCTGGAGCCCCTGTGCCCTGAGGAAAGGCTGCCAGAGTTGGGGTTGCTGAGGCGGGAGAAGAGAAGGCCCCGGGGAGGCCTCAGTGCGGCCGGGCAGGAGCTGAAGGGGCCCAGAGGAAAGCTGGGACAGAGTGTTCAGCAGGGCCTGTGGGGAGAGGACAAGGGGGCACAGCTTGAACTGAAGGAGGGCGATTTAGGGTCGATCTAAGGGAGATGTTTTCTTCCAGTCAGGCTGGAGGGGACTGAGGGGACTCCGTCCCTGGGAACATTGAAGGGCCGGTTGGACGGAGCCTTCAGCAACCTGGGGTGGTGGGAGGTTGCTCAGGTTGGAATGAGATGATTTTAAGGGTCCCTTCCAAGACAAACCATTCAAGGATCCCATCATTCTCTGGTCCCCATCCCCACAACTCCTGTGACATCCCAGCTGCCAGAGCTGTGCCCGTGTTCCATGTGGAATGGCCAGCACCCAGCACCCAGCACAGCGCAGCCATTCCCCTGCTGCCATCACACCTTTGTGCAGCTCCCAGTGCAGCCTCTGCCCTGACCAACCCTGGCTGTGCTCTGAGACAGCCCTTCCCCCTGCTCAGAGACCACCCTTCCTCCTGCTCCCAGCACACTGTCCTGCCCTGCTCCCTTCAATCCCCAGCAGTCCTGAGCAGCAGCTGCTGTGTGGATCTTGTCCCCCATCCCAGCAGGATGCTCCCTCATCCTGAGGATGGTACGGGGCCGTTCCATGCAGGTGGGCACCCCTCGACCGCCCGGGGGGCTGGAGCTCTGTGGGGATGGTGTGGGACAGGGACCCCATTCTGAGATTGTGCCCCCTGATGAAGCTGCCAGAGACATGGGAGAGGAGATGGAAATCGATATGGGATTGGATAGTGAGGAAGGGATGGAGATAGATCTGGAGGAGGACACAGAGGAGGAGATGGATCTTGAGCAGGAAGATGAGGAGGAGGACATGGTGCTGGGATGAAGACCCCCAGCAGCAGGACAGGCCCGTCCTGGCCATGCCCTGCCCCAGGGACAGGGGGTCACTGCCGCCAGGCTGGGACTGGGCTGGGTGGCCCCGCTCAGGGACACGGTGCCCGTGCTTGGCGTTGTGGTGGCACAACCCCCACCCCCTGCCTGCCCTGTGCCTGCTTTGGGCTACACAAGCCACGTGCCAGCGCCTGGGGCTCGGCTCCCATCCCCAGCCGGGCTCAGGCCTGGCGCCAGAGTCCCGCTGTGCCCAGCGTGTGCCAGGCTGGGGGCACAGGGAACACCCAGCAGTGCCAAACTGCACTGACCCTGCTGCTTGTTCTCTTCCAGGACTGACGGAGATGGAGGACGTGGATGTCGGTCTTCTGTACACGTGATTTAGATTTTGTTTTGTAGTGCCTCTGTAAATACGTTTCATCGTTGTTTTTATGAAGATGTTTAGGATGTAAATATGTTTTAAAACTTGCTGTTTTTCTAAAAGTTCTTCTCTTATAAATATGTTTCATGGTTCATCATTTTTGCTGCTCTTCTGTAAATAAATACTCTTTGTATTTCACACCCCACCTCTCTTTGCATTTGTTTTCAGCACATGCAGCGTTTCTAGAGTTGTGGTTTCACCTGCTCTGGGTTCCCAGGGCTGGAGGTGTCTGAGGGTGCTGGCATGGCCTCCCCAGGGCTGGGGGTACCTGTGCACAGAGGGGTCCCACTGACAGAAGTCACACTCAGCTTTCATTTGCTTTGCACGCTCTTGGTCCCAGGAGAGGCAAATCCCAGCGGTCCCTGTTCCGTGGGATCCCAGCTGGGACCTGGGCAGGGCCTGGTCCTGCAGAGCCTCATTAATGTCTCTTCACTAGGTGGCACCAGACACCGGCGCTCTGGAGGGTGCTCTGATCTGCGGGCACCCCCTTCTCCTGGGCACCCCGGGGTGCTGGAGGAAATCCTCATCCATGAGCTGGGGAATGCAGGGTTGGATGGAGGGGGGGATTGACAGATGAAGGTCACCATCAGCCTGAAAGCACTGCATCACCTGGTGGGGGACACGGGCTGCTTTGCAGGGCACGAGCTGTTCCTTGGGCACTCTGTGCACCTTTCTAAGGCTGGGGGACCCGGAGCTACTGGTCTCATCCTTTGCATCCCCAGGGAATACGAACCGGAGCATCTGCCACAGCATTCTCAGCATCCCACAGCTCAAGCTCAGGCCCTGCTGCCTCGGGAGGAGGCTCAGAGAGGGGTTTTCATGTAGAAGAACATGAGCCATATGGAATGGGGACTGCTCTGAGGGACCCTGGGGCCACGGGTGCTGCACATGCAGCAGAGAGCAGCACAGGGCCTGCAGGCAATCCTGTGCCCACAAATGCCTGGCTCCTGCTTATTCTGGGGGAGTTTACAACAGAAAGAGTTCAGACCTTTCCCCCTGCTATGAGTAAAGCACTGCTGAATATGCTTCAGATAGATTTCTTCCCCTCCATCTTCTCTGCAGCTTCATCCAAGCCTTGTTCCTTAGTCTTTTCTCCTCCCTTGGAGGCACAGGTCCAAGCCCCACCTCAGCTGGATCTTGGCACCAAATGGGAGCACAGCATTGTCCTCTCCAGCCCCAACAGCAGCTGAATGCCAAAGGATTGCTTAAAAATTAATCCAATGCTTGTATTTCTCATTTAAAGTGCTAAATTGTTGGTGCACAGCCCAGAAAGTCTGTTTGGGTTGGCTACATCCTCTGCTGGTTATTTAATAAATGACTTTACAAAGAGCTAAATGCAGCCCCAGAGTTAACAGGGAAATTGGACAATAATTAACAGATAGCCAGGAAGTTAATGTGGCCCATGAAGACTTGAGAACGGAAAGCTGAAAAGGAAGCAGCACAGGGAGATGCCCACCGTGCCCTGGATGGAAAGTGGCAGCTCCAGAGGCTGGGGCAGTGCAATGGTGGGCGGCTCAGGGGCTGCCCAGATCATCTAGGGGTGATGTTGGGCTCTTGCTGCTCCTCAGCCCTCCTGGTTACAAAATCAGGGGCTGCCCCAGCTGCTCTTTGCCGGGATGGGGAGTGTTTGGCTGCAGGAGCCCTCGCCTCCCAGGGACATTCCCAGAGTTTGCTTCCAGCACAGCTTGGTTACCTGCCAGCCCCACAAGTGCCACAGAAAGGCTCCAGGAACCCCTTACACAAGGTGAGGGGGCCATTGACCCATCGGTGGGAAATGGAGCAACTTCCCATTGCCCAAGGGCACTTAAAGAAAACGGCTTTGCCTGCAGGCTGGGGAAAGAGGGGTGAGTGTGTGCAGCATTTCCTTGGAAGGCAGGAACAGATGGAGGGCTGAACGCTGGTGGAACCTTTGCCCTCCAGACAAGGAATGGTTCAGGTGACCCCCAAAGATCATTCCTGGGAAGGTACAGGCAGCCTCAGGCTGATCTGGATTGTGCTGGAAGGTTTGGTTTGCGGGTCCATGTGCAAGCAAAGTACAGAGGGCAAACCCACTGAATAGACCCCCAGAAGGGAACACACCACGGTCACCACAATGGTTTCTCCTGCAGAAGGATCCTTGCCCAGGAGAAAGCAGCTGCACTGCCTCCAGCATGCCTGGGGAACGTTGCCCTGGACCATCTTCCCTTGGCCTCTCAGCCCCAGCTATTGAACAATCCCCTTTGTGTCTTGTGCAAAAGCCTTCCAGAACACACAACGCAATAGGCAGAGGAAAAAAAGTGCAAACATCCTGTTCCCCATGCCCATCCTCCCAAAGGGTTTAAATGTCCGTGTGCCACAGCTCTCACACCTCTCAGGGACACGGCAGCATGAGGTCGGTGGCCGCTCTCCTCCTGGTGGGGATGCTCATCCTCTGGGCAGAACTGCCAACAGGTATGGGATGTCCCAGGGTAAGGGACAGGGAGGAAAAGCTCAGGGGCTGGGAAGGAGTCATGTTTACAAGGATCCTGTGGGAGGGGAAGGGAGAGGAGAGGGGTCTTTGCTGGGCAGCATCTCCCCAGGGCCCCTCAGCTGCCCTGGAGCAAACAAGTCCCTCCTGTTGCAGGCAGCGCCTGGTCCTGCCCACCCGTCCGCATCACCTGCGCGCTGCACAACCCGCCGAACCGGTGCTTCAACAACCGGCAGTGCCCCCGGTTCAAGAGGTGCTGCCCCACCTTCTGTGGCAGGAAATGCATCTCGAAGCCATCCGGCACGCATATCGGTAGGAGCTCAGGAGCCCCCCTGCCTGTGCCCAGCTCCCGGGGAGCAAAGGGGATGTGATGATGATGGGCTGTGTCCAGCTGCCAGAGCCCTCCTCTGTCAGGCTGCTGGACAAACACGTGGGCTGAGGTTACTCTGAACACCAGATCCAACCTTCTTTCTCTCCCTTTCACCAGTGTGAGCTCCTGCTCCCAGGACAGATCGAGGGCCATCTCAGCATCCCCACGCCACCTCCGGCCCCAGCCCATGCTCAGGCCACCTCGGCCCCAGGATCACTCCATAACAGCTGCTGTGCAGTGCTATGTGCTACCTGCCTGCCCTCTCCCTCTGCTTCTCCACTGCTGGTTTACCAAATAAAAGGCTTGTCTCAGAGGTGCCTGTGGTGTGTGACTCCTTTCCCCACCTCCTCCTGCCCCTCTTTGGGCCCATCCTGGCACACAGCCCCACTGCTGAATTTCACCCCAGAATTTCTGCCTGTGGAGGAGAATGGAAACATTCTGGCTACACACCCATAGTGTGGTTAGGGACTGGCTTCAGGGAGAGAATCCATCCAGGGCCACACATACCCAAGTGGTGCTGAACCCTGAGCTGGTGGGGAAAATTCAGCTGAGGAAACTTGCCTGGGAAAGCCTCAAGCCACAGCTCCAAGGGGTTCTTGTCATTTTTGTGCAGCTGAGTGCCGGGGACAAAAATTCAGGAAATGCCAAGAAATATCATCAAGAGAGAGCATGTGCAGCCTGAGGGACCTGCCGGCCTCTGCCCAGTGTAATAGCAGAGCCAGGCACTTACACCGTGTGCTGCAGGGGCAGAGCATCACCCAGCCCCTGCTGATGCCCACACAGCGCCTGCCAGCCCTCCCCAGCCCAGGGCTGATGCCAGGCTTGCATGTCCCATTCTCAAGAAGCAGACCCAGCCCAGACTGGGAGATGAGCCCGGTGTGTCTGCACACACTGAGGATCAGAGAGGAGCTGGTTCTGTGTAGGGGCTCAGCTCACAATCCTGCCAGGCACGAGTGAGCCAATCTGGAGAGCAGCAGCAACTGGCCATGTATTTAAACCACCCAAATACAGCAGGATGAAGCCTCTGGCTGTGGGAATTGACCCCTTAGCATGGCCCAAGGCAGACACTGGAAGCTCCCTGGCCAAAACTGGGAAGAGCATCTGCTGTAGTGAGTCCTTCTATGATCACGCCCGTGGAGGAACAGAAGGGGGACAAAGACTCAGAAATTATTCAGTGATTGAGAAGGAAAAAGTCCTATGGTGAAAAACTGCCTCTCTGCTTAGCCTGGCCACAGGAGGGCAGAGATAACTGGAGAGCTCATGCAGTGTTAGGAAGGCTGGAAACGCCAAGTGATCCAGCAGGGACAGGCAGAACAAGAGCTGGGAGCTCATCAGATAAATTCAGTGTGAATTCAGACATTGCTTTTTTCCAGTGCAGTGTCCTTCTGGGGGAAAACTACTCCTGACACCAGCCCAACCCTCTGCGTGGGGAGTGCTGTGCCACACAAGCCGAGGGGTGAGAGGGGCAGAACCCCAGCACTCCCCCAGCCATCCCCACTCCCAGGATGGGGCTGGCACCAGGGCAGAGCAGCCTGATTGCACCTCCCACCGTCATTAGTCACAGATCACAGCCCTCCTCCCCCGTCAGGACCAGCTATTATCAGCTATTAAGCAGGCATTTCCATACAGCTGGCTAATTTGATAATGCTGCAATTATCTTGGTTTGTTAACAAGATTAAATTGCTAATTGGTTTGATTAAGCGCAGAGCTCCAGGCATGGAGTGTCTCCCAGCACAGCCCGATGGATGCCGTGCCCAGGGCAGCAGCTCCTCTGCAGAGACAAGGCCAAGGCAGCAGGGGCTCATCCTCCCAAAAACTGCTGCCTGGGGCCTCCAGATCTCCATGTGACAGCCTGGAGGGGTCCCTCTTCCTGCTCTGAGACAGAGTCAGCTTTGCCCATGTCACCACTGTCACCCAGGGACCATCAGCATCACAGGGGCAGCCTTGCTCCACAGTGCACTTTGTTCCACTCTGAAATGTAGACAGGGAAGAGGAGGGAGAAGTCAGGTCTTACCCAGAGCACAGCAGAATATCTTCAATATTTTCTTGGAGCCTCTCCCTGCATATGTTATGCTCTGGCTCGGGAGACTGGGTGGTTGGGGTCTGAATACAGAACAGTTTGGTGCACAAGAGTGATGTGAGACCTTTTCAAGAGATGATTCAAACCAGTCTAATAAGAATTACTACAGCTTTGACAACCTTTGAAAAGGGAGGGTTATTTAGCTAGCCTAGCCCAGGAGTGGAAAGCTGTAGTCCCAGCAGGATGCAGCAATCACATCAGTTCCAGAGGGGAAAATGCCCTGGGCTGAGTGAGTCCACTCAGCAGTGGCTCTGCCCATGGTCAGGTGCTGTGCACAGCTCTCACTGTTCCTGCTGAGGAGCAGCAGTATTCCAGGTAGGAAAAAGAGTTAATACCATTCTGCTTCCCATAAAATAAATAAATATACACCTCTGCAGAAAAATAAACCATCCTCACACTGCTGAAGGTCAACAGATGTATGAATTCACTCTGTGCTTTCTTCTGTGGGATGATTCATGCAAACCCAGCTCCTCACCTGGACCAAGACACCCTCCAGTGGCAGCACGAGGGTGGTCAGGGCCAGAGCTGTCTCATGCCAGCTGATACCCTCCAGCATTTTCTTTCTGAAGACGCAGGGATGCCTTTTTCCTTGGCTTACTTCATGATGCACCACTAACCATTCCCAGTGCCCTCCCACCCTCCTCAGTGATGGGCACCACGCACCACCAGCCCCTGCCATGCTGGGAGGGCAGCGGGGGAGCCACGCCCTGGGATTGCAGAGTGGAGGGAGGCTGTGTCTGCCCCTGGGAAGCCTTTGAGCCAGGCTGGGAGCTGTCCCTTCTGCCTGGCTCTGGCACATCGCCCCAGCCGTGCAGTGCACACAGCCCTCTGTGAGGCTGGGGGGTCAGACAGGGGATGGGACCACGGCTGAGGGATGTCAGAGCAGTCCACTGTGATTCCTCTCCTGCCTAAAGTGCTGCCAAACGTCACAAGCTGCTTGTGACGAAGCCCTTCAGTCTGGCACAGGACAGCTCTGCGTGACCCACGACAGCCAAGAGGCAGCAGAGCTGTGCTGAGCCATTTGGCTCCAGCCCCCCTTCATCCCACCAGGAATCCTCAGCAGGCTGCTCTCTGCTGCAGCCACACACGGTTGCACGCCCAGGAAGCCTGTCAGATGCTGGCAGGACTTCCCTGAGCCAGAGAGCCAAAAGGAAGGCAAAAAAGATGAGGCACTGACAGCACCCTGTAGCTGAGGGAGATCCTTGCATGCCAGGAGTCCTTGTCCCCATGAAGAAAGAGAGAAAAGGAGGCAGAAACCTCTCCTCTCTGCAGCAAGCCGTGCTGCATGGAGGCACACGTGAGGGCTCAGCAGGAGACTGGCAGTGGCACAGGCAGGGCAGCCCAGCTCCAGCACCCCTGCCCTCCTTGTAGCCCCATCTCTCAGGGGGGCACTCCCTCTGCAGTCCCTCAGAGAGGCTGATGACTGCATTCAGCCAAGCAGCTGGGATGTTCCACAAATACCAGCTCTGGCAAAGGCTGGCAAAGCACTTGGAAACTCACAGGAGGCAGTTTGCAGAGAGCAAAGCATCTCCCATGGGCACCGGCCCTGCACCAGCCCCTGCTCACACACAGACCCCAGCTCAGACCCTACACGTGCTCAGGTCCATAAACTCATCATCACCCCTCAAATCCACCAGCACAGGCATAAGGGTACCTGCCCACGCCCTCCCAAGTGGAGTCACTCATCTGCAGAGAGTCCCTCCCCGCTGAACCAAACACCTTCCTAAAGCGAAGTATGGACGAGAAGGGTGGGCTATTTCTGCTGTAGGGCAGCCCAACGAGCTCCTGCCACACCCCAGCTCCAGCTGTGGAGGGGAAGCCATTTCCCAGCTCCCTCAGGTCCCACCAGCAGCACTGCATGGGGGAATTCCTGCCTCTTCAGCCCTGCCTATGCCAAGGCACACACAGATGCTCCTTTCCCCGACACTATGTAGGTTAATAACATGCAATGCGATGGCAAGGCACGGGGAACCGCGACACGATGTCAATATTTAGCTTTTACACGTTTGGTTAATTAGGGAGCAACCTGTGATTCCCTCAGAAGGAGGCACGGCTGCTTTGCCCCCCCCTCCCTCCCCTCCCGCCTGTTCCCCGTTCAGATGGGATAAACGTCAGCTCATTATTTCTGGAGTTCGCCGGTCGCAAACGGTCTGTCCCAAAATGCTATTCCCAGGCACTGGATGTCAGAAATCATTATACTAAATAAAGCTTCATGAATGATTCATGAGGCTGGGTTTCACATTAATCAGGGAGAGCTGGGCACAGGCACCGCAGACCCGCCGTGCCACGCTCCTGCACAGCCCGGCCAACGGAAAGGTTTGGACCTTCAAGGCCCAAATCAGAGATGTGGTGGCAATCAGAGGAAGACCCTGGCCCCAGCACGATCAGAGCCTGACCCAGCAGGGGCCAAAAGAGGCAGCAGGCCATTGCCCAAATACCTTTCTGCTTCAGGAGCTCCTGTGACTCGATCATGTTAATGAGCCCAGGGCAGGCGGCTGCTCCGAGCACCCTGAGATGCACGACTGCTTCCCACGTGAGCCCTGGTGCCCAGCACAGGGCTGGGCCAGTGCTTGGGACTCACGTACTGACTCCCTGGCTCTGTGCACCATGGCCTCTAAAAACAGACAAATGTTTTCCCAAAATGTCATGGGGAGGCTCCTTCCAGGGCCCAGACAAATGGGGCTTCTGCCTGGATCCCATGCTGCATCCCAGCACAGGCTGCCCACCAAAAGGTATCTTGCTTGGGACACAAATGCTTCTTCCACTGCTCCAAGACTTTGGAAAGAAGGTAGGTGTGTCCCCTCTTGGTATTTAAAAAGGCAAGCCCTGAACTTTATGGATCAGTGAAAGAACGAGGAGTGCCCTCAACACAGCAGTTTGTGGAAGGAGGTGATGAAATGTATTCATTTTGCAGGAATAAGTGCCCATGCTCCTCCCAGCCATCCAGGCTCAGCCAGAGAGTTCTTATCCACCTGCATCCTGCATCTTTGGCTTCTCTGCCACTGCTTCCTCAAAGATTCCTAGAAAAAAACCTAAAAACTACAAAAATATGGTGACAAGCAGCCAGGCCAGCTGTACAGCAGGGAAAAATCCACAGCCAGCACTGCAAATCTGGGCTCTGACATGGAGACAGCAGTGATTCTCCGTGCAGCAGCAGAGGAATATCTATCAGGAGGCCGAGGAGCCGTCAGACACTCCTGCTCCCCCCTCTGTGGCTCTGCAGCCTTCCCAGG